ATCCTTACCTTACCTAAAGTTTTGTTTCTTACGATTGTCATACGTTACTCGAAGCGGAGGTTAACAAAAAATACTGATCAATTGCATCAACAGCTATATGAAAGCAATTTCTTCTGATACAGTGTTTTATTGAGACTTGTAATGTATTGCCTTAGTGAGAGTGTGTAGCAACCAACACCACTCTATCGGTTGTGATATATTACTAACTTTCAAGTCAGTTGTTTGACGAGTTTAACATTTTCTTAATTGAAATAAGAACAAGCAAATTCGTGGAATGTATATACCCCGCTTGCAGGACATATTGTCGGTAAACATTATTGAGGTTAGGTTTAAATATGTGAGTATCGTGCTGTTGAGACATAATGTATAGCTTGAAACCCGGAGGGAAAAAAACTTATACAGAAGACCTTTTTATTGAACATGTAGGTATCACGGTGTAAATTAATCGTTTAATCCATCAGAATTTACTAACCTCATTAATTATCCGTAAATATGCACAAATCACATCGGTTGGCAAACTCAGCACGAGTCGGTGTGGCATCACGAATTTGGTTGAAATATCTGCACACTATCTACAGCAATTATCACACAAAAACCAAAGAGTGCCCGAGAAGGGTGGAAAGACCGAGGAACACAAACATTGTTATCAAGTTTGAAGGAATTTGGCTAATATTTGCTAGAGTTATTGATCGGAAACTGCAGATAACGACGTTTTTCGTTAATCAAGGGGCCATTACTCCGCCAAAAGGACTCCAATTAAGGTGGTAGTCAAACTTGGCCAAGCCCTTTATGCGTTTAACCCTATTACTAAGTTTGAAGACGATCAGATATTATTTGTGAGAGTTAATGAACAGAAACGGCAGATAATGACGTTTTTCGTTATTCAAGGGGCCATTACTCCACCAAATAAAGTTCGCTGAAAATGGTAATCAATTTTTGCCGAGCCCTTAAGGCATTTAGTCATGCTACCAAGTTTGAAGAAAATCGCTTATCATTTGTTGCAGTTATTGCACGGAAACGACGCATTACAGACAGACAGACAGACAGACGGACAAACCAAAATTAATATCCCCCGTTTCGGTGAAAGGAATGGAAACTGCCAGGATTTGTTTGTATCTATGTGTCAAATATCGAAAATAGTCCTTGAAAATAGTATGTACAATAGTGTCATTAAAAACATGAAGCGTAAGATATAGCTCAAAATCAGCAGCCGCAATATGAATACAGTAGAGCAACCTTAAATACACAATTGATGCAAGTATAATCTACATAGCACTTGTAGTAGGCAAGATATTGATGAGAGCAATTCTTCTAAACCTTACGTGAAGATGAGAGCAATTCTTCTTAACCAGGTGTATGGACGGACGCACGGACACACGGACAGATCCCATTTCTTTATCACCCGCCAGCTCGTTGAGCAGGGGATAAAAAAAAACAAGGTAAAACATTTTTCGGGATAAATAAATAAATTTTCATTGGTTTGAGATTCATCCGTTTTATTTAATAACCGTACAGAGTTGATAAATTATATCATTGTCTACACTTCACATTTCCAGCTGCAAACAGGTTTTTGCAAAGGTTCAGTTATTGACGCTTCCTCATGTTAACTTTTGTATATTTTATAACGAAGAAACATTAGGATCGTACCTGTGTATGTTAACTAACCTTTAGTTTCTGTTTGTATAACTAATCTGACAAATAATAGAACAAACTTGTATCGTTCAATAACAATGTAATCGCCTTTAATCCTCTAATATATATATGAGTTAACTTTAGTATAATCTACATAGCACTTGTAGTAGGCAAGATATTGATGAGAGCAATTCTTCTAAACCTTACGTGAAGATGAGAGCAATTCTTCTTAACCAGGTGTATGAAGCGTAAGATATAGCTCAAAATCAGCAGCCGCAATATGAATACAGTAGAGCAACCTTACGTGAAGATGAAATCATCACCGCAACGGGAACAGCTTTTGTATTCTGAGGTGATCAAGACACCAGCTGTAGTACAGAAACCAAATACGCCTAAAATGGGAACTAGAACCAAATACGCGCGTAAAGCTAAACACTCCGGAAAGAACAGTTCGGGTGTAAAAGAATCCAGCCCAGTTAACTTGCAAGGAACTACCTACATTGGGAAATCGGTAAACAAGCATTTTTTAGGACAATCAAAATTAGGAAACAAAGGCGGAGGGACAAAAACAAATGTACACAGTCAGGAAGAGAAAACGACGGCAGTTTAGATAAAGGTGTAAATAACAATACTAATCAAAGTAAGTTACCAAAAGTAATAAATCTTTCTAGTAGAAAATTTACTGATGATGAAGTACACCTATTATCTAAAGGTCTGAAATTTTGTCCAACACCAAATACTCATGATGGCAAAGAACTTAAGGCAGATCTATTAGCATTCTGTAGACGACTCCGTCTTAGTGAAAGATTCCATAAAGAAAATGATGATGAGGATGATGATGATGATGACAATAATAAGATTAGCAATTTTAACGACGGGTCACTAGTTTGGAACAAATCTCGTTGGAATCCCCCAAAAAGCAAAGATAAAATGTTGGAAGATACTATAGAAAGTTTGAAAAATTGCCCTGTTGATTCTGGTTGTCAAAAGAAAGTTAAAAGTAATTTATCATTTAAACAAAGAACTGCCTTGAATTCTTTACAAAAAGATAAAACCATAGTTATTAAGGAAGCAGACAAGGGAGGAGCTGTTATTATAATGAACAGTAGTTACTATTGTAAGAAAATGGTGGACATGCTAGAGAAAGAAGAATTTTATACATCTATTGAATCAAGTGCTGATGATGTTACCTATAAGCTTATCAATGATTTAGTCATGAAGTACAAAAAAGGTATTTTTGATAAAGAGGTGAAATATTTAACATCTGATGGTTATAAAACAAGCTACTTTTATGGTTTGCCTAAAATACACAAAAGTACTATCATAGCTGAAGCTATTAAACAACAGAAAAGCGAGTATGTGATGATTGAAAATCCAGATGATTTGACATTTCGACCAATAGTAGGCGGACCTAACAGTGTAACCCAACGGCTTAGTCATTTTGTTGACTTAATTTTGAAGCCACTTTGTTCTTCAGTGAGGAGTTTTATAAAAGACGATTTTGATTTTCTTAAACATTTGCCAAAATCTGTTCCTCCCAATTCTAAACTTGTATCTTTTGACGTCGTCAGCTTATATACAAATATTCCACATGATTTAGGAATTGAAGCTATTACGTATTGGCTTAAGAAACATCCAGATAAGATTGATAATCGTTTTGCTCATGAATTTATTATCAAATCCTTAGAAGTTATTTTGAAAAGAAATGTCTTTTATTTTGATGGCAATCACTACCAACAAATAAAGGGAACGGCCATGGGTACAAAAATGGCACCTACCTATGCAACACTTGTGTTAGGTTATTTGGAAGAGAAACTCTACACCAATATAGAATGTAAATATGGTAAAGTGTTTTCAGAATATGTACAAAACAATTTTTTTAGATTTTTAGATGATTGTTTTATTGCATGGCCTTCTGATATGTGTATTGACAAATTAAGTGAGGAAATGAATTCTCTACATCCGGCTATACGCTACACAATGGAAATGGATGAACATGTTTTACCCTTTTTGGATGTTTTAGTTAAATTAGAAAATGATAATATTGCAACTGATTTGTATTCAAAGCCTACTGATGCTCATAATTACTTAGATTTTTATTCAAATCATACTAAACATATTAAAATTAATATACCTTTTAATCTCGCATCTAGAATTGTAACAATTGTAAGTGACCCCAATATGCTGGATGTGCGACTTAAAGAACTCATGTTTTTCCTGAAGTCGCAGCATTATCCGGACGAGATTATTCGTAGTGGTGTAAATAGAGCTATAGAGAAGGGACCTTTTACATCCCGTGTAGAAGCCAACGATGACCAAGGAATTATTCCTTTTGTATCTACATACAATCCACATAATTTTGCTATGTACCCTATTGTAAAAACCAAAATCGATGACTTGCAGAGAACTAGCGTGCGTATGAAAAATGTTTTAGCTAAACATAGAATTATCAATAGTAAAAGACAACCCAAAAATCTCAAAAGGCTATTGAGTTTTTCCAAGTTTGAAACGAATCAAGCTGAACTTATTGTGTCTAAATGTAATTCGCCCAGATGTGGAACATGTAAAATAATTATTGAAGGTTCTACTTTTGTTTTCAAAAATGGATTTAAATTCACTGTACGTTCTAGTATGAATTGTAAGTCGAAGAATGTTATATATGCTATAGTGTGTGTTAAATGTTTGGAATTTTATATTGGCCAAACTGGGCGTGAACTACGTCAAAGAATGACTCTTCACAAGCAACAAACAATCCATGATGACCTTAGATTTTTACAAGTGAACAAACATATTCATAACTGTGCTAACAATAACTTCAAAGTGTTCCCTATTTACCAAATGCATTCATCTGATGTGATAAAGAGGGAAGTTAAGGAGTCGGAGTTAATGAAACTGTTGAAACCCAGTCTGAATAGTTCACATTAAATTCAACGTGTCATGCTTTAAGCAATTGCTGTGCTTTAAATATTATTGTTCATATTTTATTGTTGCCGTAAATGAAACAATTTGTATCTCCCGTATTTTTTATTGTTGGTAAGATCATAAAGTTATGCATTTGTCTAAGTAATGTAACGTCACAATTTAGCTTGTATTGTTGTTGACGTCATGGATTTATGTGTATGCCTTCTGTGACGTCATAATGACTTTGCATTATTGATGACGTCATACTTTCTTGTGTAAACAACTATGACCTCACAATACCTGTTTTCAAAATAAACAGTCTCCTGATGAACGGGGAATCAACCCGAGAAAGGCCTAGAGACGCTATCTCTGTCTTTTGTTCTATTTTTTATATTTAATTCCAACACAAGGACTTCTCAATGTTTTCTTTATATATATATATATATATATATATATATATAATACAATGTATATACAATTTTGTACATATATATTTATAATGCATCACATATAAAGTCGTCATATAAGGTTATATCATTCTTATTATCTCAATCAAATAGTGAATTTCTATGCTTTCCACGGTGAGCTTTTGCTGTAGAAACACGTAATTGTTTTCTTAATAGCAAATAGCAATTATTGTCAGTGTACATATTCTAGAAAAAATATCATTGGACATATTTTGCATGATATGTAATTACACAATACACTGAAAATAATATAATGAATGCATACAACATTATGCTAATAGAGTTTTATGTATATACAAAAAAGCCTGTTATTTAAGAACAGCACCTTTTGGTTTTGATGATTATTGCTATAAAGATATAATTAATTGAAAACAAAAATAAAAACAAAACAAAAAAAACAACAAAACTAAAACATATTTTAGAAGGGTAGAAACATACACTGCAGTTTTCTACGAAGTATACGCTTCTAATCATTGACTAAAACCTACAAGATTGAATTTTAGACAATGTAAAAACCAACCCTTTTCGTTTATGCCACTTAAAAATGAAAGGATAAAAACCCCATTTCAGCTGTTAATAGGAATACAAGCATGTTTCCTCGAGTAATAGTTAGATTTCGAAGCAATTTAGTGTCACTGGAATTTTCGTTGTAAAAAGCAAATTATTAAATAACACAGGTCAATGTTTCATATGTTTGAAACAAAGAAAAATATTCAATGACAAGAGTGTTCCTTCAATGCGTGCAGCGCTAAAATTCCAGTACCGAAATAAAGCTCAAATGCAATAAATGTTTTTACAATAGTCAAATTAAACGTGAAACACTAGAGATATCATTTCAAAATGTCTAAAATCCTAATGTGTTCAACACGTCGTTATGATATACGCTGCGTCATTTTGACATGAATCTCCTTAACAAAAGATTTTCATCGGAATATGTTGTCCATGAAAGAAAGCTACACAATGAAATGATGCATTAAGATTATTTACAAGACAGTGATGATTCAACACATGTATAATGGGTATCGATAGCTTATTCCTTTCATTCATTAATAGATATTGCTGTCTTCAAACTTTTAATCTATATACAGTAGGTAAATTATTTTTCGCGCCACTGTTGTTTTCGCGTTAACTCGCGTTAAATATTGATTGCAATGCAAGAATCACGCGTACACTTATTTATGCTTAGAGTAAGATAAATACGAAGAGTAAAGTCCTCGCGTAAGTACAGAGACGTCAGTTTGCGAAAATAAGTGTAAGCGAAGCTAGTAATCATCTGCAGTAAACTGCATTTACGTTTGCGTTTGCTTATGAAGTCAACTTTAATAAAGTTAACACTACCCTGACGTTCGAAACACGGAAAAAGGTATATATCATTGAATTTTACATCGGCAGAACATGGCGTGTTGTTTTTCGTCCGTCCATGTGTCTGTAAGTAGGAGCCCAGCCCTAGCTGTCAGGTTCTGTATTTGCTCCTTGGTGTATTTACAGCTTACTCCCTGACCTTCATGTAAATACAGGCGCTCGCCTTTCTCGAATTCGATATCCAGGTTAAGCCCAGCTGTAAATGTGAGAAAATTTCATTTCATAAACATAAAGACTTTTCTGAAGTTTCCATTATGAGGGAAACTTCACACACGTAAAAACTCACTCCCAACTCATTGGATTAACCTGTTAGGAGTTGCTAAACATTTTTGGTTACCAACTAGTGGGTTTCATAGGAGACGTGATTTCATTGGTCTATCTTCAAATTATATCGTCATGAAAAACTTTTTGCGTCCGCACAATCTTTCTATGGCGTTATAATACAAGGCAATTGTTTCAACAATCGTAAGTAGGAATCATGTATTACCAAGAAAAACTTACAGTAGTTTTTTTCGCCCTTGTCTGAATACAATTTGTAAATTAATAACCAAGAGTTAGATAAACACAATAACTACAATCAGTCGTTAGGGAAAATTCATGTTCATTCCAAAGATGGACAACGTACAAATATATTCTGCGATAGTTTGCCGCATTGGATATGGCTCTCGCGAAAAATAGCACAGAGGTTGTTTTTTCAGTATGTGAATTTATTTAAGATTCTTTTTTATAACATTGAATTACCAGCACAAGAAAATGCAACTTATTATTCATCTCGCTCTGTTTAATTTGTTTGTGTTTTACGTCCTAATAACAGCTATGGTCATTTAAGGACATGTCAGGTTTTGGTGGAGGAGGAAAGCCGGAGTTCCCGAGAAAAACCACCAACCTGCGGCAAGTACCTAATGACTGCCGCACGTAGGTATCGAACCCGTGACCCATTGGTGAAGGGCTAGTGGTAGAAGAATGTCATACGCCTTAACTTTTTGGCCACCGCGGCCCCCGTTCTCGTTCTAAATAGGTTCTACGGTGTTATACGCACAACAATTGCGTATAAGGCAGCGTCTAGTTAAAAAATAGTGAATCGTAGCCGAAAGCCAAACAAGGTATTCGTTACTGTGCTATATGGTAAAGCCAAACAAAGAATTCGTTACTATGCCATATGGTAAAGCCAAACAAAGAATTCGTTACTGTGCCATATGATTAAGCCAAACAAAGTATTCGTTACTGTGCCATATGGTAAAGCCAAACAAAGAATTCGTTACTGTGCCATATGGTAATTGCATCTCTTTGCGACTAAAGGTCAAAGGAAAATATCTGTCTGATGTGTTCTACCATATGTGTAGAATGAATCAGGAGGTACAGGTGTCTACCGGGAAATGTTTCGCCGCAGTTTAAGTTTCGCGTTTTTCGCCCTTCGTAATGCTAGCGAATATCACACCACGTTGACAATAAGCACACAACAAACTTTAAAAAGTAAGAACATGTCAAGGGCGAAATTAACGCTGCACGAAAACGGATTTTACTAGTGCAGGGCGAACACTAGACCAGGCGAAAGTTTCCCAGTATACTGTACTTTTGGCTGCCACCGATGAGTTACTCTTACTCATATTTCAAGTTAATTGTGCCAGAACCATAATTAAGTATGGCTAGTAGGTCACAGCCAGATGCTGGGACTGGTAGTCTACCGACACAAGCAACAACAATGATACGTAAAATAATCACTGAAAATATGAAGTTGCTTGATATAACTTACTGGAACAGTGTCAGTATGCTTTAATAATGATAAACTGAGTACGAAGCTACTTACGAATCGAATAGTAAAGGTGCTCCTTTGCCTGTATGTATGCTCTGAAGTAGCTCATGTATTTAGGAGACGGATCGGAGATAAAATCAAACTTATAATGGAATTTGTCGAGATGGATTTGGCTGTGTTCATCTCTGTTCAGTCTTAAAACCCCATTTTGAAAGAACTTCTTCTCAAGACCTGTGAACGAACATGCATTTGATAAATAAGGCAAAAAAGTTGTGCTCTTTTGATATATCTGCTGGTGAAATGGTAATTTGTTTTTAATAATACAATAATACTAGATTATTCATTTTCGATGGCACAGACTTTGCTAATAGCATGCACGTCTTTTCTGTAGGCTTGCCAACACACAATACAGCTAAAAACGTCTAAATATACGTTAACATTAGCAAAGCTCTATTTTAAGCAGAATGACTGACAAACTAGTGATGAAGTTGCCTGCATGGACCGGCGTTTAGAAAACATGAGTTTTTAAATTCTGTGATAACTCTTTCTTTGAAATATTAATAATTTTCTGAAGTAATTAATTTTATTGATGATTTTTAATTGTTGTATACATACCTGCTTCATCGTTGTATGCCTTAAGCACCGCTTTCTTGTCTTGTGTTATGTCAACGCTAAATACCAGATGACATTTATCTGAAAGAATACCTAAAATACATTATATATATATATCAAAATTTAAATATATAGAAAGGATCTGTAAAGGATAAAGTGTCATTTCAGTTTAAAAACAATTCCTTCCCGGTAAATATGTCGTTAGCTATGTTTTTAAGGTAAAAGCAACATTGGTTTCAATTGATTATTGCTTTTGTCCTAACTGTCTGCTATAGCGGGGTTTTATCTGGTTTATTTCATGTACTTTTTTCATTTTGGATTTGTTTTGTTGTTTTTATATGTTTATCATAAACATGTTATCGTTTTTGGTGGGATTTGCAATGGATGTGGGGCCCTGATGTCAAACTCCGAAAATAAATACTGTTGGTAGTTCGAATTTGTTGTTATATATAAACGGTAAACGTTTTCCGTAATTTTTATCATTTTCACAATTAGTGTAACGTAACCTTCTTAGTTTCTAAAAGAAGAAAAAAAAATAAAAAAATGTTGATTTGCTTATAAATGAGGTCGCCTGGTCTGTCATTGTTTACGTTTTATAACACGATATTTCAATGTAAACGCCCTATGTACACGATGCAAAATTAACAAAAATGATGGTAACTCCAAAATACCCATGTATGAATTTCCAGCAGTTATGTTCGATTACGTTCTTTTCGCCCTTTCAGTATGTCATTACAAAATCGAAGGCAGACGGAAATGTATTTGGTTGATTCCAAGAAAACAAATAACCTGTTCGGTAAAGATTACAAATGAGCAACACCCGTCTTCAAAACCGGCAAATTCTACCGTTTTGCTGCTGCGTTTTCATTCCATATTCATCAAAAGATCAAATTAGTCTACCTGTGTTTTCTGCAAAGTGGCGCGTACTGAGCCTTCGATTCCGTCAAGACAAATCCCAGGGGTGCAGAGCACGTAAGAGAGCATAACCCCGGAATTTCGAGAATGCACTTACCTGTCATCATACTTGATATCAACTTGAGTTTATCAACTTGGTCTTCATATGATAAATTGATGATGCTACCGAACCATAGAATAATCTTTGGACCGTCCTCATACCTGGCAATATAATAAGAAACATTTGAATTTGTTGATTGACAAAATCGTCAACGCCACTTTTAGCTAGCACAATAATCTATTCAAAGTTATTAAACCTACGTTGGACCAAGCGTTTCCTTTCAGACACTTTTAGGAATTTAGGCTTTTTGAAAGTATTTCACTATGACGGACAATTTTAAAGATATTTCAGGAATGTAGAACTTAAAATTCCATATGATATACACTTGATTCAAAGAGATCAAAAACCGGCAAATTCTACACAAATTTCACAGATTTTCATTTCCTTCAGACACATGCTAGTGTGTAACAAGAGGTCACATATGTATAACACATATTACACATGGTGGAATAAAATTCCTATTTTTATAAGATTTTACTTACTTGAGACAGAACACGGAACAGTACACATTGACTGAACGTCTTCTTATATTTGGATATTATAATTATATTTTGGAATTTGTCAATAAATTGGTTCTTGTCTACTACAATTTTTTTTTATCGCAAGCAATTTCAAAAGATAGGAAAGGGTATAACTTGTTAACATTCCATGCATCTATATTGTATATTGATACGTTGGTAAAATGTAACTATTTGTATGAATAATGGTAGTTTTAAGATATATATTGTTTACATATTGATGTATTTTTGTACCGTAGATGTTCTAGGCCGCTTTCATAACTTGCTGTCACCGGCGATATCGTTAAATTCTCCCCGTATTCACTTGAAATTTGTTCCACAGTTTTCATCAGAAAATCTGAAATAGACATTTTCTTTTTTAATATTTGAAACATATATCTTTGCTTTAGAACAAGAGGCCCATCATTTAACCATCGCTCCCCTGATTTTTGAGAAAAGATATAAACTTAAACATTTGTGTAGAGTCTGAATTACCATACCAAATTAGATTCAAATGCTTTTGCAGGAATGTATGTATTTTGTTTATAAGATAGAATCATTGGATAAGTACGTTGAGAATAACCGACGCCCATATTTTTGTTTGTCACCTAACTTAACCGCCAACGTAATTGATTATTACCTTATATTTAATCGTAAGCAGTTTCCTTCTACGCCACCTCGATATAAACCGATATATATAAATATATCTATAAAACGTCACAATCTGGTTGGCAGTAAAGAGAGTTTTTCATGTATAAATATTATTTGTTTGAACGTCGTTTCTTATTTGGCAGATACAATAATGACTTATGACCCTGTATCGACCGTTGTTTACAAAAACAAATTTGTCCAATATATCGAGAATAGCAACACATAGTTTACCTCCTGAGATGTCAACTGGGTAAAACGTTAACTGTTTCTGTCGTAGCAGCATTTCATCCAGAAAATATCTTGTCTTAGTACAACTTCCGCTTCCCAGGTCAACCAATGAGAAATCGTATGGAACGGATGGGATAATGTCCTTCAATAAATACAAGTGATTGGATATATAGTCTGAAAAGATATTTATTCAACAGCTCATAAAATAACAAAATAAGTGAAAGTTGATTTTGTTTTCCAATTCCATGATTTATCAAATCACTTTTAAATAAAGTAACATTGTTTTAAATATGAAATAATATCGGTATTGCAATTAAGCTTAAGACAAAGTCTCATCACAGCTAATCGGTTGCGTCTAACCAAAGGAAAGGAGCTTAACGCAAAGTATAACCAAAAAAAGGAGCTAAACGCAAAGTATAACCAAAGGAAAGGAGCTAAACACAAAGTATAGCCAATGGAAAGTAGCTAAACGCAAAGTATAACCAAACGAAAGGAGCTAAACCCAAAGCATGGCCGATGGAAAGTAGCTAAACGCAAAGTATAACCAAACGAAAGGAGCTAAACCCAAAGTATGGCCGATGGCAAGTAGCTAAACGCAAAGTATAACCAAATAAATGGGGCTATACGCAAAGTTTAACCAAAGAAATGGGCTATACGCAAAGTTTAACCAAAGAATGGGCTATACGCAAAGTTTAACCAAAGAAATGGGGCTAAAAGCAAAGTATGACCAAAGAAATGGGGCTATTCGCAAAGCTTAACCAAAGAAATGGGGCTATACGCAAAGTCTAACAAAAGAAGTCGAGCTAAAAGCAAAGTATGACCAAAGAAATGGGGCTTTACGCAAAGTTTAACAAAAAAAGCTAAAAGCAAAGTATGACCAAAGATATGGAGCTAAACGCAAAGTATAATCAAAGAAATGGGGCTATACGCAACGTATGACCAAAGAAATGGGGCTATACGCAAAGTCTTACGAAAGAAATGGGGCTATACGCAAAGACTTACCAACAAAATGGGGCTATACTCAAAGTCTTACCAATGAAATCGGGCTATACGCAAAGTCTTACCAAAGAGGTGGAGCTAAAAGCAAAGTATGACCAAAGAAATGGGGCTATGCGCAAAGTCTTACCAAAGAGGTCGAGCTAAAAGCAAAGTATGACCAAAGATATGGAGCTAAACGCAACGTATGACCAAAGAAATGGGGCTATACGCAAAGTCTTACGAAAGAAATGGGGCTATACGCAAAGACTTACCAACAAAATGGGGCTATTCGCAAAGTCTAATAAATAAAATGGGGCTTAACACATCTATTGCAGCTGAAACCCAGCAGAATGACCTATATATTTGATATATTTGTATAGTACTCCTGAAGATGAAGACGAAAATTGAAGACTTTTAACTTCTGAACTTAGAGTGATGGGACACAATTTAAATAGTTACCAGTGAGACGGAAAATAAAGGTCACAGTGACCTTAATTCGAGCAAGTTGTGGAGATGTTAATGTCATGTTGGTACTCTCATGAGGCATTTATAAAGTAAAGTGTCCTTCGCAAAGTATAGAGACTCGTAATCACTGAAGGTAAAACAAAATGATGTGAAATAGAACAACGGTTACTACTCTGGATTTTTTTTATTTGCTTCACTACATTGTGATCCCTTACCTGTACCGATGTTTCCAGAATGGAGATTTGGCTACGTCTTAAGTAATAGCCTGTGTTATCTATGGTACACTTGTCTTCTAGCTCTGATCCGACTTCATCATAATTGTACCAAGTTGGTATGTACTTCGGGAAAGATGTCAGGCCCTTCACCAGGAGTTGCCTGCTTGTATCATCCATGTCTAAACAAAAAAGAAATGAAGCAAACGTTTACATAACACATGTGACACGATTTGTATTTACATTAATATATTTTTAATATAATTATTATCAATGCGATTGCATCTTCTTTTTTTGCATAACTAGCATATGAACCTTGATAGCAGATACTAAACTATCTATGAATGTTTTGAAACATAAGAAATATATCTGTATCCAATAAAGGAGATACCATACATGAACATTCATACATACATACACGCATGCATGCATACACACACATACATGTACAAACGTGCACGCATACATACGTTCATACATAAATGTATACATAAATAATACAAACACTCAACCATGCATACATACATACATACATACATACATACATACATACAAAATGTGTTAGTTAATTCTATATATCTCTGCAAAATAAGTTTCTTCACTAAGGAAACTACTTCCTTCAGTCATTAAATTAGCATTAAACATTAAATGTTCATAAATGTTTAGGTCCAAATTTAAGTGTAAATTAAAATTGATGTCAAGCTGTAAATGAGACAGAGATATTATCATATTTTGTCTTTGAGTCATGTATCTAGGGTAATGCAGAAAGAAGTGACTCACATCTTCATTATATAAACCATATATACAAGAGGGATTATCATTAAGATGGTCTCTAAAGAGATCAGAGTTCAATCAACTTGCACGATTTCGAAGTTTACATAACATTATGTTAAAAGATCTAGTCCCTTCATATTAAAACAAAATAGTATATATATCTTCAGTATTTTGGGGTATGGCATGATGAACAAGTTGTTTTGTGAGTTCACTAATAAATCTTAAATTATAATAATTACATTCAGGTCTATTCCACCAAGATATTTTGCTAGGCCGCATATGTGGCGTGTAAGTAATTGTTTCCCCGTTCATACTTATAGTGAATAGTGGAAAAATCCAGATTCAATCCCTATATGAACGAAGTTGCTAGAGTGATGACAAAACGTGAACATACATATATATCTATCTTGTTAAGTTAAATTTGTAAACGGTTGGCAGTTTTTGAGAAAATGCGAGGGTACATTATCAGCACTAAGACTTCAGAAAGAGTATTCGTAATAAGAAGTATACCTGAAATATATCCAGTATTAATAAACCCTCTCTGTTTCAGAAATAGTGTGTGCATATGAATGTCCTATATAATGCCACGCTTGCAGAGTCACAGAGTGCAATAGAAGACATTTCATATGTTTAAACTGTGATACTAAAATTATATGTTATCACTGTCCACGCGTGTCAATGTCGGTGAAGAAAGCACTGCAATTGACCCTGAAAGATATCTCCGACTCCTTCACAGATCGTGCCAACGACCGAGGTTATAGTATATAGGTCTTCTTAAAACTTGTATTCTACTCAACAGAAATATAAATTGACTCTTCCGCCATACTATTTCAAGCGTGCTTTTCGAGGTAATCACTTCCGGCGAATTGACTTGTATTTCTGTTTACATATTAAACAAACTGGTAAAGCGGCAGTGCAAAAAGAAGAAAAATGTCGATCAATACACAAACACGAACAATTGCATGCCACATAAACATAAGTAAGAAACACCACTTAATATGAAAACATGCATGCCACAAAACATAAAATAGCGAATAAAATTAAATCTGAATTTTCATACTGATATTATTTAAGCATATCCATCGGCCGTAAATTAGCCGAAGACTATTTATAGAGGTAAATCCATTTTAAGATTGACTACGAACTAGTGAACTTATAGATACACATTTAAAAAAAAAATGATATCCCACATTTTCCATTTATGATCGTTTTGTTTATTGATCTAGTGTGGTTTAACCCCTTTCGCCATTTTCACATTTTTTTTTTTCAAACTTCGTTTTATCGTAAATAACACTAACACTATTTTTTTATCAACAATAGCGCTAGTGCGCTGCTTAGAATCTGTTTGTTTCTCTTAAATATATATACTTTCAGATCAATAGGTTCCTAGATTTTTCCTCGACTGAACATGTACTGTTACTGTATACGTCCGTTTATCGCCATCCTCGATACTCCAGGGGTTACGTTCATTTTCGCTTTCTGCACCCCTTGAATATCTCATAGCAAAATTGAAAGCACGAAGATAGCTGTTTTTAAGTTTTGATACATGTAATATTACAGGGGTTATTCATTGTACAAAAAATATCACCCATGGCCACCGTACGCTACTGTACACTGCTACCTATAATATACCCCAGGGGTGAAGAGAGCGAAAGTGAGCGTAACCACTGGAGTATCGAGTATGGTTTATCGTGTTAGATGCATGAACAGCATAAAAAATATTGACTAAATGCTGGTTTATATTATGTTTTAAAACTAAAAACGATATTTATCAATTGATGAGAAATCCCTTTCACCTGTTGTTGATTATTTAAAGTTCAGAATTGAAACTACAAAAAAATAAGCATAATCCCTTATATCTTTCGAAGAATGAATTATTGCCGAAAATCATCAAAACATAAAAATAAATAAGTACGGATAATTTGTTAACGTGACAGACGTGACAGTAGCAAATGATAAAATAAAAATAATAAAAAAGTAGACAGGTTAACTGGAATGGAAGAGGTCATAAAGGTAGTAAAGTAACACTGAAACATGAGCATTGTCCCGCTAAATCAATTAATTCACTGACATAACGAAGATAGTATTTTCTATGTAGTATGCATCCTCACAGATGCATTGAACACAGCCAAAACTAATAAAGTTTCAATAATACATATGTGTAGGATTTCTCCATTTATTTCAACGAAGGTTAAGATTCATTGTTTGGTAAATGGATATACATGTTGTATGTGGCATACATTGCATTTGAATATTGAGTTAATGCATCAAAATCTGCTTGAAAACTGAAATTACGAGAGAAAGCTACACTTTTTTTTTTACAAAATCATGATATAAAATGAGGATATGAAACCAATAACCGTTAAAAAATATGTAGAATTAAAATTAATATCAAAAAGAGTATTTGATTACGGGGAACATTATATATATAACAGGAAAAGCATGCTGTTGCCTTTTAACCTGATTTACAGTATTTGCGTTTTAAGTATTTTAATCACAATTGGTCTGTTGTTATGCATCTAAATTGTCCCCTTTGAAGTATGAAGTGTGCAACATATTGATTTTAAGCGTATTTCACGTATACGGTAAATATTCCGGTAAATCACTGGAAATGTCTTCATGAGTAGTGTGTCATTAGTTAGACCCGAATGTTAGCTTTAATGCAGATTCTTAGTGGAAACCATCTTCGAATTGTTTCTATATTTTGTTACTTGTGTTACTACGCTTTTAAACCTTAACAGAATATAATATGATTATATATCATATAATACAAAGAAGAAGAACAAGAAGACGATTTTTCAGTGAAACACAATAGATAAATATATATATAAAACAGAACACCTGTTTGCCTTAGAAAACATGAATCCCGTAGTTAATGGATAGTTCTATTAATTTAAAAAAGAACACAATAAAATAACATATTAAATACCTTGTTCAGTTAATTTCAACTGTTCCAAATGGTTGTCTAGTATGAGATGGCAATGTGGTCAGTTTCACGATAAGAGAATCCCGATTCACCTGTACGTCTCACCTGTAAGAAAGGACACCACACAACTGCAAATAATCGTCTGCCAAACAGACTTTTAAGTATCCTTTACGTCAGACGGCCTTGAACCTGTTAAAAGTAGTTCATTCATAATAACTGTCTTTCAAGTATCCATCTGATTTTGTCAAAATGATTCTACATTTTTCAATTACAAATTCGTAATGATAAATATAAAATTATCATTTTGATACAGCATTGTCATATATTATCATTTGTCATATGGACCCATAACAGTGTTTAAGCGTCTATATTTACATATCCATGGATGTGTTGTCTAGTTCAGCTGTATGCTATGACAACTCAAACTTTCAGGATATGTAAGTGTTAAACCAATCTGTCTTAGACTATAACCTGCCACTGATAAGAAGCATGAAGAAATATGTACACATTTATATATAAATGTGTCTAAGTCAGGGTGGACTAGAAGATGCTTCTATCATAACAGTAGCATAGGTATCTGGATCGATTTCTGATTGTATGGACGGATGTTAACGTAACTGTAGTGTATTTAACTGTCATATCCAGCCTTACGAGTGATAAACAACTTGATACAGGTCAAAATGTCGCCTTATATATAAATGATTGGTACTTAAATGGGTTCAAATTCGGTGTAGTATTTTCTATGAGTAGTCAATAGGAGATATACTTGGGTTCAAGAGTATGAATGAAACAGACATGAACATTAAGAACGTTTAGGATGTTATTATACTGTGATAGTATCTCCATTGGAAACAAAACATTAGTATGATATCAATTTTATATTTGCAATTAAAATTGCATTTTATTCTCACACTTTTAAGGAATATCAGAAACGAGGCTTGCTTACAGACATGCAAAATTAGTTAAAAACAGACAATGTGCATGTAATTGAACATCAACATCAAACTCAGACCATACTAACTGCATAATATTATACAGGTGAAATTAGGGCTGTTATCTCAAAATGATGTATCTATGACCGACAATAACTGTGATTTATGAATACCATATCTCAATATTATCTGTCAAAGCTTGGTGCTGTCACGTCAGGGTATTATTTAGAACAAGTTCAATACGTTCGTTGTGTGACTTTGATACCGCAAAATCTCATCGTGGGTGTATGTATTGTGTATTGAGCAGCTAGGGTTCAAATGCAGACATACAACTACATGTACTCTCGTAAGCTTAGGATAAAATGTATTCGCTGTAAACTCGATTATGGTCATAGATTATATCAATTGTGTACAAAAAATATATAGATTAGTTGTTACCTAGATGCAAACGAATGACGGACTAATACTTTGAAGTGAGCAAACAGTCATTGGTAGTTTAAGTCTAATTATAATCAATGTGACTAGCTATTTATTGGGGGGGGGGGGGGGGG